TTGGGGGTCTTCCTCTTTTCCTCCCTAGTTCTAGATTATTCAATTCACCCCACTTGGAGATGCTTCTGGCTGTCCTCGCCAGCAAAGCCTGCCTGTGTGGTCCCCAGCACCTAGCACTGTGCCTGGCACACAGTGGGTGCTGGATCAGTGTTTTGTTAGCCTGATCAATTTAACCCTGAGTTGCTAACTCCCCCTTAGGAATCCACACTCTATGAGGGAGATGGGATCCATTTAGTTCCCAACCCTGTGTGCCATGATGGTTCCTCATAGAAGTTCAGTACGTTGTTTGTTGAGTCCATTAAATAACATTGTGGCCATTACCTCTGTCACCTGTCTGCCCCCAGTGCTGAGCTGTCCCCCACATGACCTCTGTGCTAACAGCTCCGGCACACATGTGGCTCACGGGTGCCTGGCTACCCTGGCCCCATAGCAGGTGCTGTATCTGCGTCTCCCAAGAACACCAAGGGGTTACTTAGTTTTGTGTTTGGAAGCTGGATTGAGACAAATTGAGCTTTCTGGAAAGTTAGTAGTAAAGGGTCATCGTTAAGGTTGTGAACTGCAGGCCTGAGACCCAGCCTGTGCCCAGGAAAGAGGGGATCCAATGAGAATAGTTGGTTCTGAGCCACAGCGACCCCATGTGGTGGCAGAGTAGAACTGTCTCATAGGACCCCTAGGCTGGCTTGTTATGAGAGGTCTTTGTCCCGGGAAGCCTCTGAGTCCGCCAGAAACTCCAGCCTTTGGGTGAGCAGTTAGTGTTTAACAGTTGTACCACCAGGCTTCATGTCATGATTGGTTAGGAGTTGAGAAGAGCCATTTTGAAGGGAGAATTGACAGGGGACAGCCCTTCCTGCCCATCTGCTGAATTCTCCGAGCCATTGACCTGGGGCTATTTGGGGAGGAGCCGATCTCCAGGAGAGAACCCCACAAAGGACTTTGGGTTTAGCAGATCATCATCAAAAGCACAGAAAAGGGATCCAGTGGAAAAGAGCAGGTTCTGGACGCCTGGCTGGTGGATGGAGGAGCTTGGGTGGTGGGTGGGGACAGGTGGTGGGCAGTAGCTGAGAGAAACCTTACTTCACAGAGAATTCCCGAAGTGTTCCTTCTGTCTCCTGAGCTTGTATTTTGTGCACAATTCTGAACAGACTGCTTCGTAAGAGTAATGTTGGATCCACAGCCCCTGCTCCATGGTCACCTGCTACCTCCCTGTCTGTACACGTGATGCCCAGGGGTCGAGGGGACGTGACTAACTGGTGTTTGTATGTTGTCCAGCTTTGGAGAAGAAGATGACCGGCAGGCAAGGTCGGGAGGAGCTCATCAAGAAAGGGCTGTTGGAGATGATGGAGCAGGGTGAGTGAGCCATGCCCAGAACCCAGGCCTGCCTGTGGCCAAAACCTGCAGGGGAGACTGAACAGACTTCAGAGGAGTCCCACCCACCTAGAGCTAGGACATGACCCTTTAGGGAGCCTCCACACTGGAGAAATCCCTCCTGTCAATGACCAGTCATTTCAGCCACCAGGGGCATCTGAGGACCATCTGTGAGTTCAGTAGCGCCTCCTGGTGGAATACTTTGCTAACAGCAAACATTTCTCCTGGTTAATGTCTAATTGCCTCCTGGTGGAGCTGGGTACCATTGTTATTAAGTGCCGTCAATTCCGACCCATAGCAACCCTGTATAGGATTTCCAAGGAGCAGCTGGTGAGCTTAAACCACCGACCTTGCAGTTCAAATGACTTTGCAGTCTGATGCATCAGTCTACAGCGCCACGCCAGGACTCCCTGGTTACCGTGAAGACCCCCAGATAACAGCATTGGTTTCATGGGGTTTTCCCCAGTTTTCAGGGTTCGCATTTTAATCCTTTATTTGGGAAAGTTCTTGTGACTTCTGTTACTGCTACTACGGCTGCCATCCTGAAGCATTTATTATGCATCATCTGTTGCACTGAGGAGAATTACCCCTTTATCTCTTCCACCTGCCCTGCACCCCAGAGGGTTGGGCTCAGTTGTTGCCCCTCACTGTGCAGATGTGGGGGGTTGGTGGCTCTGAGGAGTCATGCAAGAGGATGGCAGAGGTGACCTTCAGCGCAGGTTGCTGGGTGTCTGCCGTGGCATCTGCGTTTCTGAGAATCGCTGGTTTTATCATGTGGACAATTGATTTGACAAAACCGACCTGCCCTCCAACTCTCCCTCACTCTGTGATAATCCATCCAGACCATGGGTTGTACGGGACCGTTCTGAAGTCCGTCCTGGTGCTCTGAGATTATGAATCTTCGGTGGGGGGTTTCTCTGGAACCTCGCTTCTGGATCACCCCGCTTCAAAGCTGAGCCAAGTCCTAGTGTTCAGATTGAAGGATCCTAGAGGGAGCACGTCCCTTTCTTATCAACATCACATGTGACAGTATCTTTGCAACCCATCTCAACACACTAGGAGGTAGGAAGGTGTTCAGGGGCTGAGTAGGTCCAGAGCCTAGAAATGACCTGACCCTGACCAGTCTGGTAGCCTCAGCAGCCCTGCTGTGACCCAAACCTCCTCCTCATTTGTCCTGCCTTTGGTTGATACTGTTGTTAGGGCAAGCCTCGATGGGAACCAACTTTAGGCTCAGAATACAAGGGGGAGGTGGAGTTTCAAAATGTTCCCATTGTCTTTCTCTTCCATTTTTTCCATGAACTTTTTGAAGCCCCTCCTAGAACTTCACCCATGGGAGGGAGCTTGCCAGCAGGTTCACTTCCGACTCTTGGATCTGGAGAGTTACCTTTACCGAGTTAGAAATTGGCACTGTTTTCATTCAGATAAAGGGAAAAGCCTCAAGCACTTGCATTTTAGGTATATTACCAACAAGCAATACTTAAAGATTTTCTATTGGTTGTATGATCATGTCGATTCCTGCTCATGGAGACCCCGTATAACCGAGGGAGATTGCCTCATGAGGTTTCTAGTTTTTGTGAGAACAAATAGCCAGGTCTTTCCTGTGCAGAACATCTGACCTTTTGGTGAGAAGTTGAGCACTTAACCACTGCACAGCCAGGGTTCCTTAAGCCTGTGTACGATCTGTCCTAAAAACAAACAAACAGTATTCTGATGAATAAAAAGTGATTCCTATCAGAAATAAAGTGATGCATTGAAACAAAGGGGAAAGTGAGCAGGCTGGATGTTCTGAAGCTCTGGGGTTTTGTCTGATGTACTTAGAACAGAGTCCCAGAGCCTGACACTTGGATCCTGCAGGGGAGAAGAGGCAGCAGATGATGGGACCTGGGTCCTGGTGCCATGGGCCCCTCCTTTCCAGCGGTCCGTGGTTTACAGCAATGTTATATATCTCTCGTATGAGATTACCTTTGATCCAGGGTCGGCAACTTTTTCTGTCAAGGGTCACAGAGTAAATCTTTTTGGCTTTGAAGTTGGTAAAGTCTCTGTCTCACCATGAAAGCAAATGCATGAATTTGGCTGTGTGTGTACCAAATGTTATTTATCTGAGCTCAGATTCGAGTTGCACAGAATTTCTAAGTGCTGTTAACTGTTGTCCTTGTTTTGACTTTTTCCAACCACTAAAAAAGTTCCCTGTAGCCCACTGGGAAGACCAATCATTTGCCAACCCCTGCTTTAGTTGGCTCTTTCTCATTCACTAGGTGATTGTGGTCCAGGACCCAGAGGGTCTGATCTCCAGTCCTGAGCTCTAAGTACACAAACTCATGAGCTGGCCACACTCTAGTGACACCTGCCACCTGCCAGGTTCTGCATCCACTGTGGGGGCACAGGTGAATCAGCACTGCTTTGCCAGGACTTACTCAAAGTCCATGAGGGCTCAGACGTGAGATCCCACAAATCCATGGAAACTGGCAGCTGAGAAGACTGGCAGAGGGAAGGCTCAGAGCACTCTCACCTGGCCAGGGGCTCAGAAAGGGGTGTGTTTGAACAGGACCCAAAAGTAGCTGGGAGGGCAGATTGGTCCTGAGTCAGTTGCATATTAGGTCCACCTGCCGGTAGGTGGCTGTCTGGATTGGAGGGGAAGGCTTTTACAAAACCATGTGAGCACAGTTAAATCAGACACTTGTGGGGGTGGGACCTAACAGGGTTAATATTGTATGATCCAAGCTTGATGTTGCTGAGGTTGGAGAGTCCTCAGTCTGAGGGAGGGGCATGTGTAAAGCTTGGTGCCTGGAAGGACCCCAAAGAATGTTGGTGGGAAGGAAAGATGGAAAGGGAGTCCGAGCTTGGCTCCAGTGGATCCAGGAGTGCCTCTTGAGCTGCCTCCAGTGTGCCGTGCAACCCAGACAAAGTCAAGGAAACTCCAGGCTCGGGTGCTGGCCATGGGAGCCTGGGGGTAGCCCCTCAGACAGCCACAGGGTGAGTGGACTCTGGATCTGCCGGGACCTTGTTCACACCCATGGCAGCCGTTCCAGGCTGGTTCAGGGATGAAACGGGCTGCCCGTGGGAAGGGCTCTCAGGGCCAGGAGAGCAGGCGGGTGGACGGACATGCCTTTCTCTTGCATTGACTCTCTTCGGTGCTGTGGCTCCCTCACCGTGTGTGTGTGTGTGTGTGTGTGTGTGTGTGTGTGTGTGTGTTCTGCCCTATGCAAACACACAGCGATAACAGGATTATGAAAACATTTGCAAAGGCTCTTGGGGTTAATTCTTCCGTTGCAATATCTCTCCCATCATTTATTTGCTAAGAAATGCTGTGTCTCATGGGAGGAGGGGCGGAGAGCTCTGTGCCAGCCCTTGTTCCTCCTGGGATTACAGGTCCTCCGTTGTCTGTGGGAATGGACACTTGAACCTGAGGACTGGTGCTCCACGGGGTCACACAGGCACCTCCTCTTTCTGAAGTCTGGTTTGGGGGTATGAGGGGCTCTAGGATGTTGGGGTTTTCCTGGGTTGAGTTGAAGGAATCCAGGGTCTTTCCTTCCTCCCAGGCAGGGGGGCTGTCCCTGCCTCTGGAGCGCCCCCCTGTGGCTGGCAGCCAACACTTCAACTGTGGTGGTAGCATGAAACTTCAAGGAAGTGTAGTGGATGATGGGAATGGGGGCCCCTAGAGGCTGCACCTCAGATTTCCCCAGGACTGCCCCTAGAACTGGCATTAAACACATACATGCACACATATACACACCATGTCATATTGCACACGCGCACACACACCAAGTGTCCAACCTGAGTCCAGGGCTCTAGTTTGCCCTGCTCTGGGAAAGGGGATCATTGTATGTTATTGATGTGGGCACTTGTGGAGCACTGGACACCCCAAATCCTGTGATTCTCCTACCTGCCTGTGCATCCCTGCCCATTGTCTCTGTGCCTCCTAGCCCCCAGCCCAGAATGGGCTATGCCATGAATAGAGCCCTCCTGTGTTCCTGTGTGTCTTTCTCTGTCTTCCTGTCAGCGTTGACTGGGCATCTTCTTAAATAATTTAAGGAATTTAATGGTGCATCATTGGCTGTTTAAACAAGGAGCATTGTTAGCCTGGTGCCATGCCCAGCAACCTCAGAGGCTTGAGATGTGTCCCTTGAGGAAATGAGACAGGGGCCTACCAAGTTGCCCCCAGTCTGGGTGGTAGAAATGTGAGGGAAGGGGTGCCTGTGTGTATTTGCATGTGGGGTGTGTGTGTATGTGCACATGTGGGGGGGTGCATGCATATACACATGTGGGGTGTGTATGTACACATGTAGGGATATGCACGTACACATGTGGGGGTGTGTGTGCACATGTGGTACGTGTGTGTGTGTGCACATGCAGGTGTGCACTGTGGACTATGTATATACATGTGTTGGTGTGTGTTTGCATTGTGCCTGTATATGCTGTTTGTACACATGTGCACACTGATCACACATGTACTGTTTGTACACAAACATGTTATGTGCACATGTGAAGGGACTTCAAATTTTTCATGGAAAAATTCCGTTATCTTTTCATTTTTCCACAACTTTTTGAATCCCCCTCATATGTGCGCACACACTAAAGAGTTTGGGTCCATACATGTACACAAGCATGCACGGGTGTGCACAGAACCTGCTTCTGTGTGCATGTGTGGCTCCTGCAGGTGTGTGGGTGTGTGGCACAGTCTCCGGTACCTGGCTGCTCAGCACCAACCCCAAACTGCTTGGGGTCCTCTCCCCTTCACAGCCCTGAGAAGCAGAAGGGCACAGAGCACAGGCAACTCACTGCAGTGGGGTTGGGGGTCCCTCCCTCACAGTGAGAGAAGCAAGCATGAGCTGCCCACCCACCCTGTCACCCCCACCTGCATTTCTTAGCAACAGTTCTGTCTCCAGGGCTATTTGGGGACCTGGAAGTGTTCACTGAGCATGCCCAGGAGTTGGAACAGCTGAGCTGGTGTATTAGAGGGAACCTCTCCTGGCCTGGGAGTCTGGGGGCCATCCTTTCATGATGCTGTTGATGATGATGGAGAGCATGTTGTTGTTGTTAATGATGGGGTGACCCTTGCAACAGTCTGCCCATTCTGAGATGGGCACGTCCAGCTTGTGAAGGGTGGGACAACCTTTCCCAGCGAGTGGGTTGTGTTTGGGACACAGTGAGCCCACATCTCCACTCAGGCAGTGTCGGCCTCCACCATCCTTTGTACCCTCAGGGCCTTGAGCTGGTGGTGGGGACAGTCACCATTGTGTGTGAAGAGTGAGGTGACCAGGAATGCCTTCACTGGCGGATTAGGAAAAGGGCGCAGTTACCCTAGTGCTGTGCCCCTACATTCCTTGACCCACCATGTCTGCCTCATGTGTGTGCAGAAACCCAGGGGGCAGGGTCTTTGTGTGTGTGCAGACAGAGTGCATTGTGGGTATGTACATATGCCATTGCACACGTGTGTGTGTGTGTGTGTGTGTGTGTTATACACATGTGTGCATGTGTGGGGTCTGCTCTGTGACATTGACTTTAGTCCACTTGGTGAGTTTTCTTGGCTGTGTTTGCCTCTTTGCCTTGGCCATTGGCAGGTTGGCAAACTATAGTCGTAGGTCAGATATGCCTCCAGACATGTTTTTACATACCTGTGAATTACGAAAGGGCTTTTGCACTTTTACACTTTTTTGACTGAAACACAGAGCAAAGACTCTGCATAGCATAGCATGTGGCATGTGATCCCTGAATCAACAGTGTTTACTCTCTGGGTCTTTGCAGCAAAAGCATATCAGCCCCAGGTCTAGACCCTCTGACAGGTATGCATGTGTGAATGTATGTGTGTGTTCCTATGTGTGCACATGTGAATGTGTTTCTATGCATATGTGCACACATGAGTGTGTACATGCATGTTTCCGTGTGTTTATGAGCGTGCATGTGCGTGTCCATGTGCTCGCGTGACTGAGCGGGTATCAGCACTTCATAAATGAGACCCTCCTCGTCCCAAATCTCCCCAGTGCAGCCTCGCTGGCTCCTCTGCCCATTCCCTGAGGCAGTAAAGGAAGAGAATAGAATAATTAATAATTACCAACTCTTACTGCCTGAAGGTCGCCTAGATGAAGGGGACCTAGCATGAGGCTGGAGCTGATGAGCGGGCACTTCAACCTGAGAACTGCTCTCTCTGAGTCGATTGTTATTGCGTGGACATAATGGTCAGGCCTAGTGGCCAGTTCTTCACTCCTGTCATCCTCATAATAAAAGTCAGTAACTGCCGTGTAAATTTAAGACACGCAGCCTGTAGTGCTGACTGTGTCCAGCCTGTTGCATTTATTTATTTTTTTAATCCTAACAAAAATCCCATGTCATAAGTAGAGTAGGAAAAGCCACATTTCTTTTGTAAGCATATCTGTCCAGTTATATCCATCTTATCTGCTGTGGTGGCATGGTCGTTATGACTCGGGCTGCGAACCTCAAGGTCAGCTGTTCGAAACTCCCAGCGGTTCCATGGGAGAAAGATGAGGCTTTCTGCTCCTGTAAAGATTTACAGCCTCGGAAACCGTATACAGGGTCACCATGGGTCGGAACTGACTCAATGACACTTAACATCAACAACCTATTTAGATGGAGTCCTGGTTTGGCACTGTGGGATAAGCACTGCACTACAAGGTCAGAAGTTCACACTCACGAGCTGCTCCTCAGAAACCCCATGCAGTTCTGCTGTGACTCAGAACAGACTCAGTTACACTTAACAGCATCTACTTAGCTGTCCTTGTAAGGAGACACAAGGAGCCCTGGCAGTGTAGTGGGTTCCATGTTGGGCTGCTGACCACAAAGTGAGCAATTCAAATCCACCAGCTGCTCCACAGGAGAAAGATGCGGCTTTCTTCTTCCATGAAGATTTATAGTCTCGGAATCCCTATACGGGGCCGTTATGAGTTGGAACCGACTTGACAGTACACAGCATCTGCAGCATATGAAAGAACAGGGGCCCTGGTGGTACTGTGGGGTAAACACTGGACTTCAAACCCGAAAGTTGGCAGTTCAAACCCATCAGCTCTTCCATGGGAGAAAGGTGAAGCTTTCTGCTCCTGTGAAGATTTACAACCTCAGAAACCCCATACAGTGTTTCTTTGATTCGGAATTGACCCAATGGCAATGAATTTGGGGGTTTTAGATAAGGAAGGATAGGGAAACTGAGGCCCAGAGGCAGGTCTACATGAAGAAATAGATCCAGAGATGCAGATGTGGAGGCCCAGAGAAGTTTGTCATGTGGGCAAAGGAGTCCCCCTCCCTCCTCCCAGCCCCCCGCAGTAGTGCAAACCTGGGTAGGTGCCCCACAGGACAGCAGGTGGAGGCAGGACTGACCTGGGCAGACAGACTCTACTCTGAAGTCAGCCCTCCCCTTCCCGCCTACCCCAGGAAGGGGTTGCATGGGGTCACTGCTTCCAACTTGGGGGAAGAGTGCCCCCTCCCCCCCCTTCAGCTGCTTCATGGCTCCCTCAACATGGAGGGGTTTCTGCAGGGTCTCACAGGTGCTCTGTGTTGGGGCTGTGCCTCTCTAGGAAGAGATTGTTACTGTTGGGCTGAGATTCCACGAGTTGTCTGTGGGCTCGTCAGTCAACAGCCGGCCTGCCAAGCTTCAGCACTAGGTTCCGTGTAGGAGCCTCACAGGGGGAAGGTCCTCATTATCATCAGACACCCCCTGTGCAGTGTCCCCCTGGTTTGCAGTGTGGTCGTCTGAATGTCCCCCCCACAGATATACGTTGCCAGGGGACAAGGATCACATCTTACCATCTCTGCCTCCCCAGAGCCTGTTGATGCACCAGGAACACAGTCATAATCAGTAAGCATTTGCTTAGCAGGTGACCAGTGGTCAGCTGGTCCGTCATGGTGCCGGGTTCACAGTAGGTGATCTGTGAGCATTTGTTCTCGGATGCAGGGACTCCTTGGCTATCTGCAGCCACAGTAAAGTCGCGTGATTGCTGTCCTTGCACCTCGGTGTTCAGTGGTCCCTTGCTGCTCACCATATGGATTGGTGGGGTGGCTCGGGCCTTTGCCCCATCCTTCACGTTCTCCAGCAGGCTGGCTGGCCCATTCTTGCTGTGGACAGAAGTGATGGGAGAGAGGTATGGCCATGTACAAGCACTCCACGGAGCCACTGCTTGCTTCAAACCCACTGGTGTACCCTTGGCTAAAGTCGGACTCAGAACACACAGGCATTGCTAAGGCACAGGGCAGAAGGTGTAGTTCCTGGTGGGGGTGACAGGGCCACTGTCCAGTTTGTCACGAGGTGTTAGAATTGGGTAATGCACAGGTTAGGCCCTGGAGGCCAAGGGCAGAGATGTTTCTGACACTCAGTGGATGCTTTTTTAGAAAGATGGACGTGGAGTGGGGATTCTGGGTGGGGACTGTCCAGGTCCATACCACCCCTGTAGGAAGCTTCTTCATGAGAATGGAAGGACAGGTGGGGTACAGGCTCACCTGATAGCTGCCATCCTTTCAGATGCTGAAAGCAAAACCAACCCCACTGGGGGACCCCGAGGTGTGCAGAGCGAACCGTCCCCGCCCCAGCAGGAAGCGCTGACATCGGAAGATACTCAGCCTGGAAGCCCCCTGGCCATTGGGACAAACCCCCTATCACTGGATGAGCAGCTGTCCACAGACACCCACCCTGATGATGCAGGTATCGGCTAGACCCCTCGTGAGCTGCCCCCAGCATGGCCATCACCCGGGGTGGGGCAGCTGGGTTCCCCACTGGGCTGGGCAGGGGTGTTGCTGGAGGTGGTCCTAGGAGTGCAGGACCTGCCTGTGGGCCACGGAGCTGAGTTCGAGTATTATTAGTGCGATTCTTTTCCACCTCCCAGATCTGGTATGACTAATGAGCTCAGGTGCGGAAAGGTGCTCACAGGTGACCCTCACCTGGCACCATCTTCCCAGGGCTCCTGGGCGTGTTTACAGAAAGTTGTTCAGTGGGAGCGTTTGCATCAGACCCCAGGTTGGTAGGGCAGGGTGAGAACAGAACAGCCAGCCCCCTTTTTAGGAGGGAGAGCGTTGTCTCTCTCCAGGAGAAGCTGAAGTAGTGCGTGCTGGCTGGCAATGCTGCGGTCTGTGGTCTTCCAGCGCTGGGGTGCTGGGCTCGAGCTGAGATTCACCCACATCTATACCAGGTGCAAGGCGTGTGGCTCTAATTCTTAGTCTCCCCTCTGCTACATGGGGAAACTATTAATACCTACATTGTGCTTGTTTTGAGGGTGGGAAGTACTTGGCACGTTGCCAACCACGGTTAGTCATGGTTGGTGGGGTCGTGATCCATCTGTTGTTCTTACTGCTACTATTACAGTATTAACTGGAGGGATGGTGGCTGGCAGTGGAGGAGGGAAGCACAAAGGCGGGGTGGGGGAAAGCTTGTCTCTAGTGGCTCCTCTGTGGTACTGCTCGCCACATGGTCAGCAGCAGTTGAGCGTTGCTGGCAGACCTAGCTGGTCAGCTGGGCGCCTGGTCCCCCCTGAACTTTTAGGATGTTGTGTGTGGTTTGGGGTATGCACCTTGAACTCAGTGTCTCAGGAGTGTGGCTGGTTGCAATACAGATTTGACCAGTGGGCTGTAGCTTATGGCCCCTGGCCTAGTAGCGGAAAGGATCATGGGCTTAGGCAGAGCCTCAGTTTCCCTATAAAACTGAAGGTAAGGCCACACAGGAGGAGAGAGGTAGGGTGACAAACTGGAGACAGGAGCAGAGAAGGATAAGTAGCAGCCATTACAGTAGGAAAGCTTGGGTAGAGGAGCAGTACCGCTCAACTCAGCAACCCTCCTGTGTATCTAACTACCCACCCACCTACTCATCATCAGTCCACCTGAGTATCTACCGACCAACCCACCTATCCATCTACCCATCCGTCCACCCACCCATCCACCTGTGTACCTGTCTACCCATCCACCCATCCACCAGCCTGTGTACCTACTTGCTCCTCCACCGCCCCCCACCCATCATCAGTCTACCTGTGTGTCTGCCTACCTATCCACCCACCCATCCATCCACCTGTATACCATCCGTCCATCTATCCATCCACCCACCTACCCACCCACCCATCCATCCATCTACCCACCTGTGTGCCTACCTGCTCATCCATCCACCCAACCACTCATCCATCCATGTACCTACCTACCTGCCATCCACCCATTCATCTGTCCACCTGTGTACCCATCTTCCCATCCATCCACCTGTGTATCTACCTACCCATCCATCCATCTACCCATCTATCCATCCACCAGAGGGCAGAGCCAAGTATCCAGAAGGTGCTAGTCCTAAGTGGTGGGGGTCCTCTGAGTGGCTTTTCTTCCACCTGCGGTCCACTGCGCAGGAGCAAGGCAGGAGGAGGATCAGGTGATGGAGGCCTCTTTCAGAATGAGGTTTACCCAGAACAAACAATGAGCAGGAGGCGAGGTAAAGGACTTGGAACATGCTAGTGAAAGTGTTGTGCAGCTGGTGCATGTCGGGCCCTGAGCTAGGTAAAGAGAGACGTGGGCAAGGAGACCAGTGATGGGTTAGGAGACAGCAGAGGGCAGACAAGCCACGGCTACAGGAGGTTGGATGGGGTGGAATCCTGGATACGCAGACACAAAGTGAGGAAGCAGGGCTCTGGGGGGCTAACCCTTCCTCTGGGGGTGCTAACCCTGCCTGCACCACCCACCTTCCACTCGCCAGGTGACAAGCCCACTTAGAATGGACATGTGAAAGTGATAGCCCTTCTAACTGATGGACCACCATGTCCCAGGCTTACATCCCATCACCACCACAACCAAGTGGGGGGACCCTTCATGGGCCCCATGTAGTCAATGAGGAAATGGAGGTTTCCTAACCTGTGCAAGGTCACACGGTGAGTGGTAGACACCCGCTGGAGACCAGACGTGACGGACTCCCCCACCCCAGTTTGCAGCTGAGGTGGAACCAAGGCATGGCCCCTGTGAGTGAGAAGGTGAATGGGCCACCCAAGCTCCTGGGTTTCTCTCCGTCCCTGCTTCTGATGGGGACTCTGATGGCTGACTTCACAGGCAGGCAAAGGTGTGTAGGAAGTGACCGATTTGTGTTGTGCTCGGTGTTAAAGGTCCCACCTTGCCCACAGCCCAGCATTTCCTCCATCACCCCTTCATGGTCAGAAGGAACTATGTTTGTGAACCTCTGTTTTGCTCTTCCACTAGCCAAGTCACCGTTAGCGTCTAGTGGTGAAGACACAGATGACGACAGCCTGTTGTCCACCTTGGATGAGTCCTCTCAAGCCTTAGCTGAATCCCTGGAGAGTCCCCACAGACCCCTGGAGAGATCCGTGGGGCAGCTGCCCAGCCCTCCACTGCTACCCACCCCACCACCCAAGACTGGATCCAAACTTGTGAAAAGCGTCACAGGTGGGTCCACATTCATAGCTCCTTCCTTTCATCATTCAGTCACTCATGATCCATCCACACATGCAGCCATCTGCCCATCCATCATCCAGTATACCCACCCAACCATTCATCTACCCGCCCACGCATCTTTCCATCCATCCATCCACACATCTATCCATCTTATCATCCATCCATCCACTATACCCATCCATTCATCATCTATCCATCTTATCATCCATCCATCCACTATACCTATCCATTCATCATCTATCCATCTTATCATCCATCCATCCACTATACCCATCCATCCATCATCTATCCATCTTATCATCCATCCATCCATTATACCCATCCATCCACACATCTATCCATCTTATCATCCATCCATCCAGTATACCCAGCCACCCATTGACTCAGTCATCTATCCATCTACCCACTAACCTGCTCATCCACTCAACTATTCATCTATCTGTGCATCTACTCATCTTTCCATTCATCCATCCATCATCTACTCATCCATCCATCCATCCATCCATCCATCCATCCATCCACCTACCCATCATCTATGTACCCATTCATCTTCCTCTCCTCTATCATCAGTCAACCCTGTGTCATGTATCCCTACATCTACCCACCCATTCATCCATCCACTTCTGTATCTATCCATCCATCCATCCACCTACCCATCATCTGTCTATGTATTCGTTCATCTTCCTCTTCTCTATCATCAGTCAACCCTGTGTCATGTATCCATACATCCATACATACATGTACTTGAGTGGGTACCCACATGGGCCAGTTCTCCCCCCTTTGATTCTGTCACCAGGACCTGAGGGGTGACAGGTTTGGGGGCTGAGAAACAGAGGAAGGAGGGCTGTTCTTAACCAGGAACACAGACTACTGGGCCGCTCAAGCAGACAAGGTTGTCCACTTGCAGGGGTCAACGTAAATGTCTTGTAGAGCATGAGTGCTGGAGACCCATCCAGTCCTAGGATGGAGACTCCCTCCCTGTTTGTCTCTGTGTCTATCTGTCTGGACACTCAGGTGTCTGGGCATCTATTTCTAATTCTCTCTGTCTCTAATTTGCTCAGTCTTTCTCACCATCTCAACTGGTCTCTGTTTGGTCAATTCTCTCTCCAGTGACCTGTCCAGTAAATCTGAGCCAGGAATGGCACCAGACTTTAGGGGCATGGTCAGAGAGGAGGGCACAGACTGACCACACTGCCAGCTAATCCCAGGAAGAAGCTGTTTACTCTTCGTACCCGGTGTTTTTTGTCCCATCTTCGCTGGTCTTGGGGGAAAGCAGGTTCTTCACCAAGACATGGTTTATTTCAGAGAGTCTGGCTTTTGGGGCTGTCTTTGATGACAAGGACATAAAGATGACTCCAAACAGCCAAACTCAGCTGCTTTGTTCAATTATTTGTGCTCTACCACCAATACTGACCATTTGTTGTGTATACACAAGTCAGGCCTTCCTATCAAGGGAGGTAATGAGTCCCAACTCAAAACTGAAGAAATGCAGTTTCCGGAAGCTTCCACACTTTGTCCTGGGTGTCACAGCTGCTTGACACTTGAGCCCAGTTCCCAATCTTATCAGAACTGCCCCACTTGGTTTAGCCATCCTAAATCCTGAATACTGGGGTCCTGTCCAATACCTCAATTCCTCACCTCAGTCACCAGGAACTGGGGAACAACAGGGTGGTAACTGCTTATGATGTGTCTCATATTAATTTGGGGAATGAGTCAGGACCTGTCGGGAGGGGAGTGGCTGCAAGCTCTGAATTTCTTACTGTTAGGACTTTTTCTTCACTTTCTCTGCTTCTCTGGTTTGTCCTCCTGTGGGGAAGATGTTTGCTCTAGTGTATGAACACTAGGTGGCAGCAGAGAAGAAGTCCTGTACAGGGCTTCATTCTCAGGGCTCCTGTGACCGCTGGCCCAGGCCAGGTGGAGGAAGGCTGGCACTGTATAGGGTACAGTGTACACAATGCTCCAGCCCCTGAGGCCAGGGCACGTCACCCACAGACTTGCTCAGCTGGGTGTGTGTGGTGCTCAGTAGCTAACAAGAATGTGTTGCCATTGAGAAATGTTGCCTGTCGTCCAAACACCTGCCTTTCCTTTGGAAAGTCTTCGACCTGGCAGCCCCAACCACTCTCTCTCCCCTGGGGCAACACTGTGTCTGAGTCTGAGGTGGGCAGCCCCCCTCTGTCTGCTGCATCTCCACCCCTCATTTCTGTCTGAATTCCCTGAGGCCTGCCTGGCCCCAGGTGACCTTTGAGCTGCCCTCAATGCCATGGACATATACTCACGAGGCCTTTGGAGAGGGAGGGAGGAAGACGGAAGCCTCACCTTTGTGGGTGGCAGTTGGATGAGTGTGTTTTGAACCATCGTCAAATTCATCTCATGGATGCTGGGACTTAATGCTGTTCATGTATGATGTATAAGGGCACAGAATGACACATTTCTAAGACTGGACCCTGCAAGGGGGATGCTGCTGGCCCAGACCTCTACAGAGCTCATCCCAGGCCTGGGACTGGACAGCGATGCAGTCTGTCCCTGACTCTGGGCTTTGAGAGTGACGGACTATTGGTTCTTCCCACACTAGGCTCAGCCGCTCTCTCCCAAGGCTCTGGTGTGAAGCCCACAGACCCTATCCTTCGAGGTCAGCTCTCTACCCCCACGGGGTCCCCACACCTCACCACCATCCACAGACCACTGCCCCCCAGCCGGGTCATTGAGGAGCTACACAGGGCGCTGGCCACAAAGCACCGGCAGGACAGGTAAGGCCCCCGCCCTGACTCACAGACCCGGTGTCCAAAGAGGCCCCTGCCAGGTTAATGTGCTATCCTGAGACCCCAAACCCTTACTAGTGTCTGCACTCCAAATCCCAGACCAGCTGCTGTGACATTGGCACTGACTCATGTCTACTCCACACGTGTCAGAGTAGAACTGTGTTTCTAGAATTTTCAGGGGCCCATCTTTTGGAAGGAGATTGTCAGGTCTTCCTTCCAACGTGCCTCTGGGTAGATGCGAACCTTCGACCTTTTGGTTAGCAGGCAGTTACTTAGCCATTTGCATTTCTCAGGGACTCCAGTTTTTGAAGAGGGCCAGCATTATTATTTTGCACTGGGCCTTGAGAATCCTGTGTTGTTATTAAGTGCCATTGAGTCAGTTTTAACTCATTGCGACCTGGTATATGGTGCACAAGGAGGGGCTGGTGGGTTTGAACCACTAACTTTATGGTTAGCAGTCCAGGACTCCACACTAGGACTCCAAAAATCCCATTGTTCCCACGTTGTATTTCTCCCGTGCACATTATTATGCTAGGTTTGGGGAGACGGGGAAACCTAGAACCTGACACATCTTCCCTACATAGTTTTCAGGGAAGGGAAAACAAAGGGTCCCCCAAGAAGCGCATGGATGCCCGCCTGTCGAGGACTTCCAGCATGGAGCGGGGCAAGGACAGGGAGGAGGCCTGGAGCTTCGACGGGGCCGCTGAGAGCAGACGGACCTCCGTCAGGGAGTCCGAGGAGAATAAGGAGAACTTGCTCGTGGACTCGGAACTCAAGGATGACTTGCTTCTCTATCAGGATGAAGAGGCGCTCAACGACTCCATCATCTCCGGTGAGGGCAGGCGGGTGGGCGGCCGGGTCCTGGTGGGAGGGCACGCCTGGATGCGGGGGCTGCAGCAGGGACAGATGAGGCCACACCAACCACCTGCATTTGTTTTGGTTTTGTAATTACATGCTTATTTTCATGAGTATTAAGGGAAGACACATTTGCAAGGTGGTGATTTTGTGAGTGTTTCTGCTGCACCGAGCCTAGGTTGTGTTCACTGAAATGTTGACGCTGGGTGTGGTCTGTAGATAAGGTGAGAGGTGGTTTAGGGGTTCCATAGATGTCCAGTGGGGGTCATGTTGTGTCTCAGACATGTCTAAACCTCCCCCACCTGTGTATACCGGACCCCACTCGTCCTGGGAGTCCACTTCTGTTTGTTCCTCTTGACATGGCCTCAGGGTAAAAGGAGGTATTGTGTCCTGGGCTAGAAACCACCCCCTGGTGGGGAGACAGACAGGAGACTACCCCATGGTGGGGATACAGACAGGAGACCACCCTGTGGTGGGGATACAGACAGGAGACCACCCCGTGGTGGGGAGACATAGACAGGTGACCACCCCCATGGTGGGGAGACAGACAGGAGACCACTCCGTGGTGGGGAGACACAGACAGGTGACCACCCCCATGGTGG